TACCTCCTAACCTGCGTAAATTATTACACTTCTAATTACTTCATAAAATACCACTGTTTACCTACGTTTACACACCAGTATAAAATCGTAATTCGCAATCATTGCATGCAACTTTATTGTATTAACAACACTATTATTAAATACCTCATGAAATAATATTACCTATTACAGATGAAAATATTTCTGCGCATGATCATATTGTAGACGAGGTATAAATTGTATTTTGTAAATAATAATTACAAAATTGTATACCATCTACGTGTTATAATAAAAGTCATAAATTGTTATAAGATAAAATAAAAACAAGATTTGTGTAATAATGTATGTATATTGTACCTATATAATAGGTATTTATAATAACATAATACATATTATTATATAGGTAGAACGACTAGAACGTATAGCTAATACTATGATATAAAATGTATACCTAATTAAAATATTAATAATATTATTAATTGTGTATACAATAACGATGCTATTATAATAACATACGTTAATACGAAATCTATGCACAAAATAATCTTACAACATTAAAAATAAGTATTTGAGTATAATATTATAATATTAGTTAAAATACCTACGCTGCAGCTATACGCGTTGTTGTGTTATCTTTTTTTTTAATTTGTTTTTTTTCCCCAATACACAATACACGTCGTACCTATAAAGTAATATACGAAATAATCCAAAACCAGTTGCCGGGCCGGCAGTATAGGTATCTCATTTAATCCTCCTCGGCCGAGAGAAACGCATTTGCAGCGCTCGCACGCGTATAATAATAATGTAAAGATAATATTTTACACACACAAACGTATATTATATTATATTGTTGTGCTGTGCACCGCCACCCAAGACGACGACAATGTGTGTGCAGTTTGTACCTATATACACACACACACACACTCACTCACCTTATAGGTATATATATGTATATTATTATGCATAGTAGGTATATTATATATTGTATATAGGTAGGTACAAGCCCGATGTTTTTGTTTTTTTTTTCTTTATGACAACCTCTCTCGGGGGATTACGTCTATTTTATTAAAAAAAAAAAATAATAATAATAATAAAGAAAACGCCCGTGACAGTTGAACGGATGGAATATTTGAATAAAAATTCCATGCGCGGGAGGAGAGGACGACAACAATTATTATTAATTCGGACGCGGGGCTATGACGATGATGACCGCGGCGACAAGCGCATGCGCGGCGTATTATCACAAACACGTATAACATTATATTTAAATAATATAATATATATATATATATATAAGCGAGTACGTGAAGAGGCGGCAACAGCATATTGCAGCGCTCCCGAACTACAACAGGTCGTCGCGTCGCTCGAGGCCGAAAACGTTCCGTTGTCAAAACGTTCGTCAAATATTATTATTATTATAATAATAATACGTAATAACAATATGTAGTATATATATGTATAATATTATGTTTAAGGCATAACATAAATTATATGCGAAGGTTTGGCTGCGGGGCCCGCACATCGGTCGTCGTCGTCGGCAGTCTCCTCAGCTTTACGTCGTTTATAATAATATTATATTTGGACACAGACGAGCAATGAGGAGATTGCAAAGAGATTGCAACGGAATACGGAAACCATTTTTTGACAACTTATTAAATTACACGTGATTTTTGTTCGTTTCGACTCTGAGTATCGAAAATGTGATTCGTATCTGTTATTTCGCCTTACCCTGGTATTAAAAAAAATAAAATACGCATAAATTCATGACTAAATAAACAGGCATGATCTCTAGATTACTGAACGCATATTTTATACTTCCTCAGACTTGGAAGAAAAACTAATATCATAGAAAACTCATGGAAAAAAATTTTTTTCCCACTACAATTACATAGGAATTTTACTGTTACTGCCAAGTCTGGGGAAAATGCACAGTGTTAGGAAAAATTGGTTTTTTGGTGATCATGCCTGTTTATTTAGGCATGCACAAATATAATATAGTCACTTGAGACGGTCACGGTATACCCTCAAACAAATATATACTGACAAATTTACTACAGGCTATATAATATAATATCATAGTACTAATAACAATACGCCGATTTGACTTGAATATATATTATGAGTACTTGATGACCTGAAGTCTAATATTCATCGTAAAAGTTGGCGTAAAAAAATAAGAGACGGTAAAAACGCGGAATTATTCGAACACGAATGAAGCTCGGCGCCCCCAAAAATCACACAATATTATAGGGTTGGTTTTATTGTCAAATCGAAAATACACTTAACTATCATAATATTTTGCTTTGTCTTTTCCTTTCAGCAGCAAAGGGGAATGTTGATGTGGATATGAAATCCACGTGTAACGATACTAATTAAGTATTAACTAGCTGTCACTTTCAGTAATTTTCACAATATTTACCAATTTAGACGGCTCTTATTTTTTATATCAATATCTTAGAAGATAGTACTTTTACCAAGGGGCTAAAATCGAATTTTAAACCTTTTTTCCTGAAGTTAAACTTTTCAAAAATGTAATTGGACGACTTGAGTTATTCAATTTATTAACAGATATCTGGTTTGTTTTAAGATTAATCATTGAATACAAAAACCGATTCTGATCGAAGACAGCCGTAGCTGTACACACAAAATTCAAGTAATGTTCTTTTTTTGAAATACAACAAAAAGATGAAATCGATTTTGTTAAAATTGGTTTTGAGCAAAAAAAATGTCTATGATTTCCTAATAAATTTGTTTTTCCCGCAATTATTTTGACTAAAAAATGTAGGTATATAAAATCTTAAATTTTTATAGCAAATGCTTGAACATTTAGTAAACGGTTTTTCATAATGAGTTCATACTGGATTCAAAAAATTAAATAATAATTAAGTATAATACGAGTATTATCTATATAATACCTATAACACCTGTGTGATACCATTAAATTAACTTACCATAATATTTATTGTATAAAATAAATAAATATAATATAAAATATCCTAGACTGTCTTATATGATAAAATATTATACTTAGTGATATTGGGCTGTCTCCTATCAAAATGGTTTTTTCGTATACCTACAATGATAGATTATTATTGAATTCCAATTTAACACTTCCATTACAGTGACCCACTCAACACCTATAATGTACAGCAAAGCCGTACCCACTTACATACCTAACATGTCAATATAGGAGCTCGAACTATTATTATAGCTGAATTCAATCTATTTCTTGCATTTTTTGATTAATTTAGGTGTAAACTACGGTTGTAAACCAATTATTTTTAGTTGTCCGTATTTATTACAAATTTTACGTAGGTACTACCTAGTAGCTATAGGTATATGCGTGGTTTATCTTTGAGAAAAAAACATTAGTCTATTTATCATAATAATATTATGACGGCGGAATTATGAATGATTGTTTTTTAAACTGAGATTATTGATTTATTTGGGCTGTTGAGATACTACATGTATAAGGCGGGTTATTAAATTTAGTTTCGATATAAAGAACATAGCGTGCAGTTTATTTTATTATCCGTTTGATAATTGATTTTAAGATGCTGTAACTAAACTAGGTGAAGCTGTGTTTAACATTGCATGTAGTTTTTTTATGACTATATTGTTAACATATAAATTGCAATATTATTAGAGGTGTATTCGAATTAATTAAAATTTTGACACCGTAAACAACGCTAATCGTAGTTTTTTGTTGAAAAAACATCCTCGACTGGCTTATTGGGGAATGTATAATTGCATATTACAATGACGACATGACATGTATTAGTGATTATATTAACACAATACAATATTGCTATCTAATCAGTATTAATTTTAAAATAATTACTTTTGAAAGATTTTATAACGATTCGATTAATTAATCAATATTTTATTTCGTTAATACTTAAATTATGTGATTCCGTGTTAAAGTCATTGTTCACACTCAAATGTTCAAGTATTTTGGAATAAAACTAATATAATACAAAATACTACCTTTTATTTAACTAAATAAATACCTAATATTATGTAAGCAACCACTGTTAATATTTATGTATCAAAAGAAAAAAAATTACAAGTGAAATCTACCTATTTAAGTTTATAGAAATGATATTAGCTTAGATACGTGAAATTCCCTCCACACTTACCTATACTAATTTTTTGGTAGTAAATAATGTACATTTAAGTATTTGACGCGTTTGGAATCTTCAATAATAATTCGCGTTTCCTTGATTTCGATAATAATTGTTCGAATCGCAAAAGTGATCTGGCCAAATACACATACGCGTAACCATGGAAAATAACATTCCTATTGTTATTTTATTTTACTATACTAATTGTGTATCCACTTTTACGAGTCATTACAATTTGGTATTCGTTTCAAACGCAAATAATTACAATGTCTATTAAGAAATTTTTTAATTTTTTAATATTCGGAAAAATATCTTTAGGTCATAAAGACCTATCAATTTTTGAAGAAAAAGCTACGGATGAAAATTCAGTACGTACCTATTATTCATATTATACCCGTATATTATATACAGTGAAACCTCTCCTAACGGAAACCCCCCTTCCCCCAATATCTGTCACCTCAAAATAACGGACACCATTCAATACCAGACACCTCCCAATAGCGGACGTTTTGTCGGGAACCATCTACAAACTTTCTACAATCTGTGCCCTGCGAATAACGGGCAATATGTCAGTGACCGAGAGTGTCCGGTATTTAGAGGTTTCACTGCATAATTTATTATTATTATTATTATTATTATTATTATATCACATACAAATTATTAAGCAACTCCGCGATTTTATAGTTCTATACCTTACAAACAAAATATGAACTCTCAATATTACATTATATTCGTATTATCTGTTTGCGGTTCATATAAATCGCGCATAATATTATAATAATAATAATTTTATGGTTTCTATACATTCAACAATTGAAATTTGATAATTTTATTTAGATCCGTTATCATTTAACTACGAAGTTAAAGACACGTGACAAAGATGACTCTAGTGAAGCTATGTGTCAAGTTGGACGTGATGTACGTATTACTATTCATACTAAATCATGTACAATATTGAATTATTAAAAAATTAATTACCCCGGCGTGCTTTTATTCCTGATAAGTTTTAAGCTACAGTCACAATAGTTTTAAATTCTCATCTTTTCGCGGATCATATTATTATAAATCGCGCAACTTTATTACTATTATTATTGTTGTTATTACCTATTATTATTATATATAAACAATTTTTAAAATTAAATAATATTATTCGGAAATATCGGCTGCAATTAAAATATAAGTAGTGAGTTTTGTCTATACCGTAGAATGTAGTAACTTTAATTTCATGGTGCCACTTTAATATACTTATATTTTTATTCACCAGTGTACAATGATGATTTAAATTTTTTTTCATAAAATGGGGTTATTATTTAATATTACATTAAGAAATATATATAAATTTATAAAAAAATCATAACTAGCTGTACTACCTAAGAATTAATTTTGAGAGTTTCACCGTTATTATTACAGAAGTTTTCCATAAAATAAAAAGTAAATTTGTAAAAAAAAAATTATCAAAGAACCCCATTTTAAGGTACTTATATTAGTTATTATGGTCTCTAGCCAGAATATATATTTTTATTATTATTTTTAATATTATTATATTAAGTATAACAATTATAAACCCTCTATTATATAGATCATAAACTTTAAATTTATAAATATTATACCTATACATATCTACCTATAAATCATTGGGTAACAGTTCTCTGTTTAAGGTTCAAACCACGCATAATATCGTCAAAATCTTATTGTTTAGATGGCTTATATGGCCACGATGTTTCCGTTTTCACCACCGGTTGAAAATAATAATACGCCACCCGCGGTGGAGGAAATTAGTGATCGTCTCGTAGAACAAAACAATCGCCTTACACAAGTACGTGTTATATAACAAATGTAAATAATATTATGATACATATTCACTTATTGTAAAATTATTGTATGTTATTATAAATATATAGATGAAACGTAAAATGGATGTAATGCTTTTCGAAGACGAACCTCTATTCAAAAAACAACTACATTTTGCTACTGTTTTAAAGGTTAATATAATTGACACTTGTGTAATATTATAGTATATACCTACATTTAATTATTGTAATTCAATATTATTATTATTAAATAGGTTGATCCTGCAACCGAATTAAAGATTTCGTTGGCCGAGCCACCGACTACAAACAATAGACGACCCGTTGGCGTTGTTGTGAGGTCAGCTCCGGTTGATATACCTAAAAAACGTTGTATACAATTATTATGAGAATCACATTTTTAATATTATTCATTATTTATTCATTTTGAAAACAAAAAAAATTCCAAATTTCATTTTGATTGCAGTATAGCAATGTTTATTTACCTATTATAACAATACAAATATAAAAATAGAACGACAATCTGTTATTATTGTACATTCAATTATTAATAAGAATACTACACAAAAAATGTCAAATAAGTTATGTACAGCTAATAAACAAGAAGTGTACAGAATATGCAAAATGTGTGTTACCTGCAGCCAATTATTTCATTACATCAATAAGAAAGTATAATATTCAATAATTTAATTTTTATAATATTATTTAGATAAATTGCATTGTTATGCATTTTCTCAGTTAAACAAATTTGACGAGGAATATCGTTGAAAAAAATTGAGAACCTTATAGAATCAATATCAGTTAAATATTTTGTAAAAAAAACACACACACATTATAAAAACAATGCGACATTTATCGGTTCACTCAGTTTTTTCCAATGTTGCCGTAAATATCAAATTTTTGAATTTTTTCCATTGCTATACGAGAACCACATTTGGGTCTCACTAATATACTTTATTTTTATTAAATGGTACCCGAAATTGGTTCTCATTTATCGGTTTCCGTTAACCATCTTCAGTTTGTGCAGTACCTATATTTTTTAGATATGAATAGCGAAAACCTAAAATAATAATTATTTCTAAGACATATTTAAATAATATGTAACAGCACAAAACTTGAAAACACAATATTTCAATTTTATTTATCATATGGCAATGGAAAAAAAAATTAATTTAAATCATTATTATAATATAATATAATCTTTTTGAGGTCCAATATTTAGTCTCTTGGCCCTCGACCTGTTGGACGAAACACGGAATCTAAAACAATTCACACGCTTACTGAGTGAGCTCAAAACCCGAATATGGCCTTATAAACAATAAATACAAAAAAGCGCTACTCCATCGCGTGTTTTCACACATAGATTATAGATACATAATATATAGGTACCTGCATCATTATTGCACTACTCCTGTATTTGACGACAATATATTATGCGTGTTTTTTTTTAAACATTTGTACGCCATAACGATTATAATATATTCCAATAAAATTATATCTGATATTATCCGACATATTTTAAACGAGTTTTACACGAATACACATATCACGCATTATTTATACATACTAGTAAAATAATTTACAGCCCAATCTAATGTGTACTATTGCGGTGCAAATAATATATATAACTTCAACGGTGTAAACCTATTTTTTACGACCCGAGTATAAAATAATATATTATAAACACGAGTACCTATATGTTATATTGTTAAAAAAAAATAAATTAATGTCCATAAAATATCATCGCTAATGAATAATATAGTAATAATAATATAATGTATTGGACGAATGGATATAATATTATGTTTTTTCACATATCATAATAATATTATTATTTATTGGTACATTTGACGAAATTATCGGGCACAAACATTATATACTCGATCGTATATCATCATATTATTATATTAATGTTTTCGTGAAAAATTTCGTATATATTAGTGTTGGACAACAGTGACAACACGACATTATTACTTATTATTACTATTATCGTCGTGTTTGCGATATAATCCACTTAATACGAGCCAAGCGACTTTTTATGGTGAGAGAAAAAACGTAGATCTCGAACTATGTATAATTACTATATTATAAAATTCGTATGATTTATATTTTACACATTTTGCAATACCATCGTCTTAACGGGCGACGAAATATTTTATTTTTGTCTATGTCCCGTTGCATAGCACCATGTGCCTACGTATATTTTATACATATTTTTATTTTATTGTAACACATAATATTTTAGCGACCATTCGGGCTGCACGAGTCTATGTAATATTAGTCCGAGTGCACAGCCTTTTTTTTTTTTTTAATACGAATATAATTATTACTATCGAACGAGCATTTGGTGACGACGACAAGGACAATAATAATTTTCGACGATTGCGGTTGACGATGTGACTATATGATGGAATCGAGACGCTAAAATCGTTTCTAATACAAAATAATATGTAGGTAGGTATATAAGTAGACTGCATCAGCCTCTTTAAAAATACTTTTCAAAAGCATTCGGCTAATTATGTCTTTCAAAAGTATTCAAAACACTTTACGAGTACCTTATTTTTTCGTAGTATATTAAAAATCAGTTTTTGTACGTTTATCACAAATGGAGTGGCAAGAGGTTTCCCCCCAAAAAGTTGGTCCGCTATAATAGACTCCGCTCATCGAAACAATAAACACTATTATACCTACAGCCTACAGGGTAAAAAAATAACTTAAAATATGTTGTTTCTCATGACTAGACACCCGAAACCGGGCAGAATTTATTTTTAAAAAACGTTTATACTTTTTGAAATAATGAGTGTGTTCAATGATACAAGAACACCTGGCATATACTTCAATGGCGTATTTAGGTTTTTGTCATGGGGCCCATGAGGGAATATGATTTTATATCCCCGAAATCACTCTTATATTCTATCCAATTGGAAATCCCCGAAGTTCAACAATTTTTATTCAAATTTTCATTATTTTTATTATTGACCCAGAACTCAAATGGACTTTTTTTTATGTCTATATTTATTATTTATTCATTGTTTCTTTGTTGACTTCTGTTTTAGGTGTAACTATATAAGGGAGCAGTGAGACATTATTTTTGTTTATGCATACAAATAGCACACAGCAAAACATTTAAGCTCGGCCAAAGTTCAAAAAGATCTATGATGCATGATTTACTTATATTTTAAGAGTGACGTTAGAAATTTAGAATTTATTCTTCCAAATACTTACAAATTGTACAAACATTTTTGCAGGGTCAAAAACTTGCAAATGGCAAAATGCCCAGGTCTTTAGAAGTTACCCACGATTTAAACGTATGTGAATAAGTGAAAACTGCTGGTGAATTTACAAACCTATTTGTGATATCTAAAAAATACTTGAAAATTAATTACTAATTATTAAGAAAACTTAAGTTAAAATTTTGAATTTGTGCTGCCAACTTCGTGGCCTTCTGATTGGATTAAAGCTACTTAATAACTACCACTATAAAAGAAATTAAATTTACGCGATGAAGCCAAACTCACTAAACTTAGCGGTTAGACATCAAAACCAGAAACATTAAAGACCATAAATTTTTCAAGACATATTCTCAACTTCAAATTCACAGTCCCAGTCAGCCAGTTCTATTATCAATTCGTAGTTTTTTACTTATTATTTATATGTGACGTACTTATACATTATTTATACGTATTTACTATTTTTTGTTAAATATTATAAATAATAAAATATTAAATAAGTGCAGGTAAAAATTAATATTATACCTACAATACCTATAATTATTTTATTATTATTATTATTATTATTATTTAACTTTTAATAACATATTTTATATCATGTTCATATATCGCTTCTATATAATAATATATATTTTATTTAATATTATTATAATCTAATATAATATATTAAATGTGCGGCAAGAAGGTATGCACGAGACACTACGATGAGTAACAGCCGCTGTGGCCCAGTTTAATGATAATAATATTATAACAACTTCGCACACATATTTATTATAATGTGTCAATTTAAAAGCTAAAACGGTATTTAATCATAATTATGTACATAAATATATACATACATACATACATACATAGGTACACATTTATTATATTATAATAATATATTATAATAAAATAAAAACGTGTTTAGAAACTATGATTTTTTGGCGTCCGATCGCGAGGCGGTGCATGTATGATATCGCAAAATTCACCACAGTATTAAAATAGATATTATTATCTGCCAGGGATTGAAATCGATTTTAAATATCGATAAAAATCATGAAAAATAGTTTAATAAATCAAATATTTTATTTAATGATACTGAATATTGATATTGAAATCAAAAAAATTGCAATCAATAATTTATATACCAAAAAAATAATAGTTTTATATTTTTATAATGTACAATTCGATTTGAAATTGAAATTTAAATGATTGAAATTTAAAATTCATCAATATCCTATAGGTGTACCTATGTTGTTCATGTGTAGGTAATAATAATAACAAATAATATTTTGTTTTTGTATTTTCATTAATATTTAGTTACACAGCCACGTGAAGGATGACGGGTTTCTCTTAGTTGGAAATCAAAATTAAAATATAGTAAGCTAAAATTGATATTATTTGAAATCGAAAAAACATCAAAATTATATGTTAAAAATGACAAAATCTAATTAAAAAATCATAATACAACTTAATAAATATTTTACAAAAATATAAAAGTCATACAATTATAATATCAATGTATTATTTTAAATTTGAATAAAATATTGATAATATGTGAAATTCAAATAAAAATTAAATTTTTTCATTTTGATATTAAGCCTCGTTATCTTCATCCGGAAACAGCGTTCTTTATAATAATATCTGTATTGTCGTACCAGCAGTTTAATTATGAGTATATAATGTATTAGAGGTATAGGGTTCTGAAATTTCATGAAATCAATTTTTGAAATATTTCATATTAATGAAAGATAAAAAAACCAATTTTAATTTAAAACTATACAGTAGAAAGTGCAGTAAGTAAACACCTCTACCTAGTTAAGTATTAATGAAAAATATTATAGAAATATTTCTTACATAGTGTAATATTATGCAAATTACATTATAATTATCTATCTTATAAAATATATACATATATGTACAATATTTTCTTTATCCGGATATAATTATTGATAATCACTAATCAGGTACGAAATCAGTATAACCATCTAGTAATAATTTTATGGGACATACCAAAAAACCTAGTTTAATAAAAAAATTAAAAAAACTATATTTTTCAATATTTCAAGAAGGGTAAAAGTTTCAAATTTGAAATATTTCAAAAGTGAAAATTTCATGTGAAATATTTCATACTCATAAAGCTAGTTATAGGTTATATTATATTATATTATATTATA